CAAAAGCATCTTAAAACAGTCATTGTTTGTCTTAGTTTCTAATATCTCTTTTGTAGTTCAGAGCGTTTCTGTTCATGAAATGAACGAATGTTGTATGTTTTATTCAGAAGAACCATCTTGAGGTTGAAGATTGTGAAGTTCTGTCTCTGAAGATCCTGTTATTCTGTTTGCCGGTGTTTGTGGACACAGACTGTCCCCAGTATGATCAGGCTTGAACCTATCAGCAAATTTCTTGAAAGTTGCTAACATCAATCTGCAAAAACACAAAAACAAAAGAACGGAAAACAGAGTCTGCTCTTTTTGAAAAACAAGTTTAAACTTTATTAAACATTATTTGGACTCCATTATAACCTCCAGAGATACACAAAGACTATTTGGCTGGCGACTAAACTGTAGTCCGGTGTAAACTAAACATCGTAGCCCCCCACCTGCCATATCTTCTTCATGAGGTTGGCCCCCAAGTCACTAAAAGACAAGGTTCTTCCCCATGACTCCATCCTACAGCATTTTGCCAGTCTCATTCAAATTTTTAAGTTAATTTAACCATTAAACCACATGATAAAATTAAGAGCTCTATCGTATAAGGAAAAACAATTGAAGAAAAAAAATTATAGTGTTAGAAGCAATAAAAAGGTGTCATGTTTATCTGTCTTGATACAATTTGATGAGGACAGAATGCCTGATAGGATATTGGATGTGTAAATTATGCAGTTAAACCTTACATACCTCCGCCAACAGACAGATTACTGAACTCATCAATGATGGAGGAGCTAGCATCTTCAGGAGCAGCTTGTGGCTGGTCTCTTTCTTCTCCATCTCTAAGCTTATGGTCAGACGGTGGAGGTGGAGGATTATTTGGGTTGTTCATTTGGGCCTGGTCTTTCTCTGTCTGCACTCTGACTTTCAGCTGAGCAAAGGTATTCTCAAATAAATTCAGATGATCCTCACTGCTTTGCACAAGGACAATGCCAGTAGTGTAAAAGGATATTGTGAGAATGAGATGATTTGTGTCATGCAGTTCAGCTTGAAATATGGTAAATCTTTCTCCATGGTCAATTTCTGTTTTAACAACATGCTGGTGGTATTCATTATCAATGACTGATTTCCATTCAGTAATCAGCGTGGTGTAGAAAATTAAGTTACTCTTTATTCTTCTCCCTTTCTGATGACTGTAATCAGCATAAAGAATATCAGGATTTTTTCTCAGGATCCTCTTTTTGTATTTTTCCCTGGCCTTGTCAGTGGTAATACTCTCTGGATAATCAATCTCCCTGCTCCCTGCTTGGTCATTGGTCGCCATGGTGTTCTGGTAACTATGGCAGAGCTGCAACTGCAGATTTCAGCTTTGAATTATGAAATATTTGATATGATATAATTAGATTTTGATGAAGTTTTTATGCTTTTTATGCCAGTCAAATCTCAGCTCTGTTTACTATTTGAAGATCACTTCTGTGGTACTCTATTTAGTCCTTTAGTGTTTTGGAGGGAATCTGCAGGATGATGGTCCAGTAGTCAGATGCATCAGTCTTCAAACATGTATTTTCTAGGGGGAGAAAATAGAGTGGTGACTACAAGTGTTACTAAAATTGGAGTTTAGATTTCTAAGGTGCAGTAAAAAGCATTATGTAATCATTCACAATATCATTGTGGCTAATGACTTTATGACAAAAACTATTGATATATCTGATATATGTATTAGTATTAATGTCACATTTAAAGGGTTAGTTCACTCAAAAATAAAAAATTCTGTCATTAATTACTCACCCTCTTGTTGTTCGAAACCCGTAAGACCTTCGTTCATCTTCGGAACACAATTTAAGATATTTTTGATGAAATCTGAGGGCTCTCTGACCCTCGTTAAAAGTACCAAGATGAACGACAAAGTAGTCCGTGTGATATCAGTGGTTCAACTGTAAAGTTACGAAGCTTTGAGAATACTTTTTTTGCGCAAAGAAAACTAAAATAATGACTTTATTCCACATTTTCATCTCTACTGCATCACTTGTGGACGCTCGTTCACGACAGTATCATGACGTGAGCGTGTGGCGGCGGCGGCGCTGACCCAGATCCACATGCTCGCATATATTGTACTGTCGTGAACGCACGTCCACATGTGGACCTTGAACGTGGTAGTTACCTTGCTGTCTATGGTGACGTGAGCGTGTGGCGGCGCTGACCCAGATCCACATGCTCGCATATATTGTACTGTCGTGAACGCGCGTCCACATGTGGACCTTGAACGTGGTAGTTACCTTGCTGTCTATGGAAGGGTCAGAGAGCCCTCATATTTCATCAAAAATATCTTAAATTGTGTTC